TAGTTAATATTTTACTTAACTTGGTGACTATTTACCCTTGTTCTCTTTTTTTTTTAGGATCTTTATGCCAAAGCTACGCCCACGTTAGAAAAAGCTGTTGAGCAAGGTAGAGGTAAATTAGCTTAGTTTTCTTAACTAGCAGTTTGAAATGCAGGATTGTACTATATTTTCAGTTTAAGGGGAATTCTGTTAAGAATCATTGTGTGTATAATTTCTAATGGATTTAAGATGACATTATTTCCACTGTGTATCTGTTTGATTTTCCTTTGTGGGTTGCTTATGACACTACATTTCTATACAAATAAAATCTGAGACAAGTGTCTATGTTTCCCAATGTCACTAAAAATTAGTTATGCAGGAAAAGAAGAGGAAAAGCCTCACAATTTATTCCCAGCCAGCATATTTGCTTGACCTGCCTCCAGCAGTATTTGCTTGACCCAGCTTAGTAGCTGAAACCTCCTGTAATGTTTATTACTTGTTACAAGCATTAGGTCTTTTGTTTGTGATGTTTAGCCTTTTCATTTTTGTTTGCTTCTGGGGATCTCCTTAGAATTTTGAATTAATCCAAAATAATTTTTATTTGTTTTTATTTYTGTCAGCATCCTTTCATATTTGGGCTTACCATGACTGAGCATGGGTGCTATGTAGAGCTCATTTCAGATACCACACCTCTTCTTTTTAAACTTAGCAGTTTCAGTCTTTTGAACTCATTTGCATGGAAGGTTTTCCATTCCCCCACCTTAGAGTGCACTTTGTTTTCACTGTGTCTTTGTATTGTTCTGTGATTTGGTTTTGTACAGTATTTTAGTGAAACTAATTCTTGTTAACATGTAACTGTAAAATTCCATGTTGCAAAGGGTTTTATCACTAATTTGAAAAAGATGTGATTGAGATGCATAAGAGCAAAACAAAACAGATGGCCCAGGAGCAAAGGCAAAGCTCCTATGAAAATTGGTGAATACAATACAGTGTTCAGTTTCATTCATGTGTCACCAGAGAAGATCTCAAAGGCTTTGAATTTTTTGCCAGCATATCTAAAATGGGCATGATAGTTAAATGTGTTTTGATAACTCTTTGTGTTTTGTAACAATTGCCAGCGTATATTGATGATTCCTTATCACAAAAACACTTTCACATTASATTAAAGCACTTTGTTCTGGCTTCTTTTCAGAGGGCTATGAATTTCTCCAAAAGCCCCCTGCTGGATTTTATCCAAGACTTGGTGTGATAAGTTTTGCTGGAATTGTTGGATTGTTTCTTGCTAGAGGTAAGTGGAAACCMTTTGAACTGGCTATGTTATGATTTTGGATAAGTAATTTATTTGTGGGTTTTAGGATACTAATATTTAATTGTGACARTGAGATCTGACTTAACTGTACAAGCATGTTTCTACTGTGTTCCTCCAATTGAAAAGAAACTTCATGGAAAAGGGGTTTCATAACCAACAATTATTGTTTTATCAATGCTGTGCTTATTATTAGAAGCTAGTCTTCTGTATTTCCCAGTTGTAGCTTAGCGTAACAAAAATGGGAAAGGACTGGTTTGGTATTTTTTAGTCTAAAAATATTTTTAGTTATTGAAGTTCTTGATCACATATGGTACTGTAGAAAACAACAGATGAATTAATTATGGTAAAATAAAGATGTTCCTGAACTGTAATATGTGTCCAATTAGATGTATATTCAACTTATTGCATATCCAGGCACAGAACTGCTGTAGATGGTGATTTAGTGAATAGATTTGTGAACTCTGAGTGTGCTATAAATACCTGCACATTTTGCACTACAGAAAAGTGATACAGTAAATTTCATTACACTTGCTGAAGACACGTTCATGCTTTCATAGAAAGAAGCATTAGTTTAAGGAATGGTAAGTGTGAAAAAGTATTCAGCGCTTACGTTGAGATATTCTTAAAGCAATGAAATGTGGGWAACAGAACTTGAAAGCTGTAGAATTTAAACACCACTGAGGATATGGTTTGGACAAAGATAAACCTTTGTGGGGCCTGAAYGTGTTGAACTGGAAGTGTGGTCTTAGCTGCGTAGAAATTAGAAGTGCACCTCAAAATATTTAATTTTCCAGTGAAGCTGGTGAAAGTGGTACTTTATTTTTTATCCTAGTGTATTTTTTTTAAATGAAATCAAGGTAACTTGCCTGTTTGAAGTTACTTTTCTTCAAATTCCTGCTTCTCTAGTAGCATGATCGTAAATGAGATCAGCTTCCATCATTTATGACTGTAGCAAAATGAGGGGAGAAGGGAAAGCCTTGGAACTGAAATGGAAAGATTAACCTCATAATAAAAATGTTAAATTTGTAGATCTTTTAGGGTGGGAGCCATRATTGTAAAATGTTTTTGTCTGTAAAATGTTTACAGTATGACTCTTAGTTTCAGAAAGTATTCAAACTGTAGAACAAATTGCCTCTTAATTCTGGTACTACAGAAAGTTCTCTTTTTCATTCCTCCCCTGCTTTGTCTCTGAAAAAATTGCCCTCATGAAAGGTACAGATAAATCCTTCAGGTCTAATCATAACACTTGAATACACACAGCTGCTCACTAAGTGGAGGATATGGTATTCAAAGTTTAATCATGTGAATATTGTGCAGTCATCCAGCATGGTTAAAAATGCMTTTGGAGATAATTAGTTCTAAGCTCATGTTGCAGATGGAGTGGTGCACTTCACTCGTAAGAGCAGCAATGTGCTCATTGATGTAAAGAAATTATTTTAAAAGATTGGATGGCAAGGTACACTTGATTAGTTACTGCATAGAGGATGGGGTCAGGCAGACCTGTTTGGGGAGGATCCTTCTCTTGAGTCACAAGATTCAGAGACAACCTCCTTTCTTTAGGACTCCTACTCAGAGAAGCATAGGTGCTGCTGGGTCCAGTCCTAATTTCAGACTTGGTCAGGAGTTTATGTCCAAAGGCTTATATGGGTGCAATCAATCAAAGATATGATTTCAGTGAAGCTTACAAAGTTTAGCAAACTATTAGGATGTCCCTATTGATCAGAGTAATTATGTTTCTTAAGAAAGTGGTAGGATGGAAGCGAAAATACACTAAACTATTTAAGAAAATTGCATATAAATCAAATGTTAGGGCCATTCAGCTGTCTTGGTTAACATATACTCTTAACAATGGTTTGTGTTTTTTGGTTTTTTGTTGCAAAACAGGCTCAAAAATAAAGAAGTTAGTGTATCCTGCAACTTTCATGGGCATTGGCACCGCCATGTATTACCCTCAGCAAGCKGTTGATATTGCAAAGGTCAGTGATGATACTTTTCTTTGGAGATGTGTCTTTTACTTTGATTGTTGCCTCCTGGCTTCAAATTAACTGGTCATCCATTTTTAAAAGCCATGTTAGTGGCACTTAACAAAATTACAGTTATTTTGTCAAAGCACATGCAGTCTGAGCTGAAAGACAATSAGATATATTCCTGTCACTGACAGATTTTTTTTAACATCTGCAGTAGTATCTTCAGTTAAGGGAACATAATTTCCTTTCAGAATCTGTAACTTCATGTAACACAAAATTAACATAAATATGCTAAGTGAGTACAGTTTGTGTGTTTACTTAAAATACTAAAAAGCCTGAAATATCTTGTGAACAAATGAAAACAGTGTTTGAAAGAAAAAAA